CAGAACGACCCGAATAACAATGCGCCACGACAGTCGCAGACGGCAGACGGTCAGTGGGAAAAGCTCGATCCTAAAATTAACTATTTGACACTCTGGTGCCCAGAAATTCAAACAGCGGCATTACTTGCCCAGCTCGCAGCGTCCAACGGCACCATGTTTTCCTCTCCTCCAGGAGGACCTTATTCTACCCTTTTTCAAGGCCACCCCAGCGCGTCTGGATATAATTCCGGCTCGCGCTCGTTTGTTTCTCCTGCACACCTCTCAATGCCCTATGGCTCACAGCCATATCCATACTTCCGAGGTGGTCCGCTCCCGATCTCTCAAAATCCCCCATCTCTTCCCGACACAACAAGGACCAGGGCAAGGTCGCAGTCACAAGCTGGTCCTTCAACATCGAATGCTGCGGTGGAAGAAGACGATAACGATGAGTACGACGACAAACGTCGAAGAAATACAGCTGCCTCAGGTAACCAGAATTGTTTTGGGTGCCGGGGCCATCCAGTTGAGTGAAATACCTTCTCCTTCAGCTCGGTTTCGCATCAAGAAAAAGCAAAAAACACTTGGCCTCGAAAGAACCGTCTCCGACCTGACTGGCCGGGCAGAGGAGCTGGAACGCGAGGCCGCCGACTTGCGACGCGAGAACGGTTGGTTGAAGGTGCGGCCTGGGACGGTTTATGATTCAAAGATTATTCTGAAGAAAATCTGAAGGAAATTGTTATGCTCAAGGGCGGCCGATTAGCTGGAATCGATCTCTCGAGGAATCCAGACACGCGGGGCCAGGGAAGTGGACATCGCGATCAACGACAGGAACCATTGGAGAAGGACGGTTCTGATTCAGAGTAGTCTGCAGAAGACAGAGGTCAAGGATCGGGAAAGAGTAAAGGGAAAGGAAAAGCGAGGAAGAAGTGACCAGACGGTGCAGTTATTTAATGCGAGACTAGTCAGTGTGCTCTTGTTTCTCAGGCCGATGAAGAGTCCACAACGAGTTAGTGTCTACACTTACTTTCCGGGAAGTATCTGCGCTGCTTTCAAAAAAAAGGGAAAGTCGCGTAGAGGCTTGCACAAGCCGCCGTTGCAGCGGTGACCGACGCGTTCTTCGACACCTCCGTATGACCTATGACCTAGATTCGAGACGGATTTATTTAAGCTTGTATATAATTCATCGATCCTTTGACCAAAAAAGTAGTTAGATTCCCGACGTAACTTGATGAGCGGCGCAGGCTGCTCAGTATGCTCACTGTAGTCTTCCGAATTGCCCCTGAATTCTGGAATGTTGGTTCGCATGCCACAAAGATTGGCCTTTAGGACCACCATCAGCGATTCACGTTGGGTTCAAATCCGCACCTTTAGATCGCGGCGGCGGCGGCGCGTTTCTGCTTGACCATTACAAACACGCACCCAACTCGTACCGATTTTATCTGACTTCCTGAACAGTTCCTCAACCCATAGGCGAATGCAAAGACCAAATACATCGGTACATGTCTGCTTCGGTGTCCAGTTCATTGAGGAAAGATTACCTGCTTAGAAGTAGAAACATATTTGCTCTTTACGCCAATCGCATTTTGCTGAAAGGCCTACTGGTGGCGAGGACGAGTGGAAAAATCTTCAAAAGCTCAATGCGCTGATCTTCGACGCGGGAATACTGGTGGATATGTGATTGAGGGAGAATCGCCAGACGGCGAACAGCGGCCCGGCTAAGTTTCCCATTTGGGCCTTTGCACGTTTGTAGCAAACTCAACCACCGAAAAGCTTACTTCGTCGCTTCGTCGAAAAAGGGCGTCTTTAAGCGTATCTTGTCCTGAACGATAGAGAATGCCCTCTAAGATGTTGCCGGTCAACACGGGAGGACTGTGCAGGTGCACCTTGCTTTCAGGCGAACGATCGACATCCAACGTTCGTACTCCAAAAAAGATCTAATTATTTAAAGATTTTGTGATATGTAGGAGAGGTAAGAAGACTGCTCCATCCACTCCCTCACCACTAGGATGCTGTTGTCATTCATCTCTTGTTTGCTGGCAACCGTCGGCGTCTCAGCTACGTCTCAACAGCCTCTGGCCCGCCCCTTAGCATTCGACGTACAGGTACTTTCGATCTTCGAAATTTATCGCAGGGATAGACTCTCTGTTAGGGCCATCGTGGTGGGCGTGGCAACGCCGTTGAGAACACCCTCCCGAGTTTTGCCTGGTAAAACAAACCAGTCATCCGAATATTGATGATTATTCACTACCATCCTAGGGGTCTCATTGACGGTTCTACCACGCTGGAACTGGATAACGGAGTTACGAAGGTATAATTTACTCTCCTTCACGAGGGGCTCATCCAACAACATGATTTATTCAGGACGGAGCTGTCGTGGTCTGGCATGACGAGGAAATCGTAGCTTCCAAGTGTCAAGACACTGAACCTGCTGTAAATCGCTGTTTCATACAGTCTATTCGACTTGACTCATGCATTGCAAGTTTTCCGATGACCCTGCTTTTCCATACGTTGGAAAATATATCGCAAACCTAACTCTGGCGCAACTCAAAACGCTCGACTGTGGGTCCCAACGGCAAAAGAATTTCCGTAAGCGCTTATTTAAACTGCTTCTCCACATTTCGAAAATGAAACTGGGTAGCACTTCAACTTACATATCCGGGCACTCGGATATCGACTCTGCAAGAGGTCTTCGATTTCGTAGAATGTGCTGATCCGGACCACCTCATGAGGTAACTCAAAATCTATGTCTAGATCCAACCCCCTGACGCATGGGTGGAAAATAGCTGGAATATTGAATCCAAAATTGACGCTGTATACCCGGTCCGAACTGCCAGCGTGGAGGACTTCGTGCAAAATCAGCACGCAATATTCGCTGCCAGTCCTTACAAAGATTCCATAACTGCAAGCGTTGTTTCTGAAGTCCTAATCGAGATTTGCTAAACTCGAGTAGTATCAGAGTTTCGATTGGCGGTCACTGATTGCTATGAAGGTAGTAATTCATCTCCCTCATTTCTTATTTGACTGAATACTGAAACTCGTAGAAACTAGACCCAACAATAACCACCTCGGCTCTCGTTGACTAGTAAGCCTGCGCCTGCTCGATTTCAGTTCCCTCTTTATTTTCTTGCATTGCAGTGAAACAGCAGTCATGCCAGACAACACATCATCGCCATGGTTGGGGGGGCTCAACCTGCAGAACTTCTCTGGATCCTCTTTGAGCGTGAAGCTTGCCAATGCAGCACATTCCATCAATGCTAGCATCCTCTCTCCCGACGCATATGACTCTCCAAACTCACTTACAACACGAGAAATGGTTGCCCACGCACACTACCTCGGGATGTTGGTCAAGCCATGGACTGTACGGCAGTGAACTCCTGCTTTCAATTCAAACACTAACATCACTGTTTTTGACATAGGTCAACAGTCTTGATATGGCGGATAATCTGCTCCGATGGGGTGTCGACGGTATTATCTGGTCTCTATTAGCAGACACCACAACTGATCGAATGCTGTAGGTATTATCACCGACTACCCAACCATTGTCAGAAGATATGTACAACAGCAGGGACGAGAGGTGGCTCCGAAATTCCCCAAACGCAGGGTGCTTGCGTGCTTGGAAGAACACAATCGGTGGTGAAACGCAATGAAACTAAAGACATAAAACTAGAGACATACTAGAATATTATAATTAGATTTGGTACCAATTATGTGAAGATATGGGTGGAACGTGATCTATATCCTAGCAGCCTTTGAGAGGTGCCTCCCAGCTTCTTGGCGTAGCGAAGAGGGTAAGCGGCTTCAGCGAGCACAAGCCCTGAGTACGACATTTTAGCATTTATCGAAAGGTAGCATCGTACTACATCATGTAGTGTGAAAACTACCGACTGGGTCGAACATTGTGCGGTCCATCATCCGACAATTGGACTAAGTCGCTTGATCTTTTGGCTGGGTTTGGAGGGCTAGCACCGCTGTCCGTGAACCAGGACTCGGGGAGTTCTGCGTTGCGGCCGACAGACTGAATGGCTGTACTGTTGAACGCGGTCGGAAAAGCAGGTGAAACGGGAAGCAGACAACACTGCAGGACACTCTCTGGGAACATATGTATATAACAGTGAAGACGATTACCTCGAGTCACTCACCAAGTCGTAACAGACATGGCGCCTGAATTTCCAGTTTTCGCACTGGATTGCTGTCGCAAGGAAATTAGTCTACATTTCAGTAACTGTGTTTTTGGCACAGACCCGTCGACGTAGTCAGTGAGGCGATTGGAGATCAGAACCATGCGTTCAAGTTGCTCGCGCGACCAATTTGCAGCGAGCAGACTTTCGTGGAGGTCCATGTCACAATGAGGCATCTGCGTTCTTGAGTCGGGCATCACTCGGTCCAGGATGTCTCACCCATAATATGGTCGGAGCGTCTAGTGTATGCTTACCGTCCTAGAAATGGATTAGCGGGAAAGGATTACTGAAAGCGGTGTCTACCTGCTTTATTTCCTGAAAGCATGCGAAACCCAAGTTTCTCGAATAGAGCACCGTCCTCTGCCGAGAAAACTGGATCATAAATGGAGACATTGTCGTGTTTCTGCACGCGGAGTGTTGAGACAAATCATGGATTGGACAAGGACACCCACGATAGGGACCGACTTGCATATTTCAAGTAAGAAGGCTAGCTGAGCACGAGAGTTTGGCGAAGAGGACGGGCTCCCGAGACCCAGACATAGAACTTGCGAAAAAACCAAGGGACATGCGGTTAAATGGTCTCGCAAAAGTTCTACAAAGAGTGTCACTGGGAATATGGTGGTATAGCAGAGGGAACGGACGTTGACATCGGGCATTCCAGTCGTCTTTAGCCAGCTCCTCGCCTGCGCGCTGGACAAGAGTGAGCAATGATGGCCGTTCCTTGGTTTGTTTCCTTTTCTTTCGCGAAACAACAGGCGTAAAATCGGAGTATTGAAAGGTATTGTCAAAAGCCATAAAGTGCGGAGCAGAAGGATGAAGCAAAAAACAACAAAATGAATGATGAGCCCACCGCGAGGGTCGAACTCGCAGCCTTCAGATCACCGCCTAATGATTAGACTTAAAAGTCTGACGCTCTATCCGATTGAGCTAGGCGGGCTTCCCGGTCCTTCCAAATTTAACGATATGCACGGATAGGTAGTTGGCTCAGGCTTGGTCGCTAAATTACGTAGGCAGGTTCAAAAAGAAATAGCATCTTCTACTTGTCTTCTGCTGATAAACAGCACGAATGAACGCAAATTACACCTGGTATACAAAAGAATTACAGAAAAAATGGAAAGCAATATCTGTGACAACAACACAAATCAAACACCAACCCTAGAAGCAAGTCAGCGAAGAAAAAAAGAGTAACAGGGCGTCCAACGAACCTATGCACAACTTTTTTCTGACCCGAGAAGCGGATTACCTCGCTCTTCTCCATAACAAACAGAGTTCGCTCCAGCGCGTGGCTCGAGTAACCTTGCTGAGTGACGAATTCTCGGACGAGACTTTGGTAGCTCGTACTCCAGCCAACAGGAAGCCGTCTCCGCAATTCCCGTTCTATCTTGACCATTTCTTCGTTCAATTCCCCGCGAGAGAGACCATCAGCAGAACCAGCCGAGACTGCGTCCATTGTAGAGAACTTGAACAGCCGAATGGCTTCTTCGACATGGTGATTTTGAACGACAGTGGAAAGGGTCATCTTTGCGAGCGACTCTGAGATACGGATGATGGCTTCAAGTTGCCTGTGGGTAGGGTCTCAATACCGGGCCGAAATATAAAACTATCCAACGAGAGCTCACCGTACAGTGATGGGGATGGAACTCCGTTCATCGTTATCCCGTTCTACTTGTTGGACTTGCTTGCGCAAACTGACAAAGTGACTGCTCAACATCTCCTGAGCCTCGGAGGACAACCGGGGAGCACATTTACTAATCGACGGACATTCAGCGGCAAAAGAGGGTCTCAGACACACGCATACCTTTTGCAGTATGCGATATAACGTTTCATAACGTCTAGGCTAAGCTCGTCAACAGCCTTGTCGACGTTCTCTTCCGGTCGGTTCATATGGGTATTCATAACGTGTCTAGCGATCATCTGCAAAATGTAAGCTAATGACCGTTAGAAGAAGTATACTTTTCACCCTATCTCGCTGTTCATTATGTTCATCCTTGACGATGAAGATCATGTCGAAACGTGACAAAATGGTTGTCTGGAAATCAATATTCTACGGCGCCAGTTTCAGGACGCAAATGTACGACGAGGGAAACCGCCGTACCTCGCCAGGGCTTCTACCCTCGTCATATCGACCAAAGACGGGATTTGCGGCTGCGAGCACACTAGTGCGCGAGTTCAAAACAGTCGTGATACCAGCCTTAGCTATGGATATGGTTTGCTGCTCCATGGCTTCATGAATAGCGACACGATCTTCGTCTCGCATCTTGTCGAACTCGTCGATGCAGACCACGCCAGTGTCAGCCAAGACCATGGCACCTCCTTCAAGGTAAAACTCGCGCTACCCGATTCGTTAGCTCCGCAGGGAAGGAAAGCGGACAACGACTTACAGATACCGTATCTCGCTGAACGGAAGCTGTGAGACCAGCGGCGCTGGAACCTTTGCCTGATGTATAAACGGCGATAGGCGCAACCTTGATATCATGAGTACAAAGACATGTCGAGATGAATAACTGAATCACCTTTTCGACAAACTTGAGCAGCTGACTTTTCGCCGTTCCTGGGTCACCCAATAGTAGAACATTGATGTCGCCTCGCAGTCTCATGCCGTCGGGAAGAATCTTTTTGGATCCCCCGAACAGAAGACATGTTATTGCTTTTTTAATGTCTTGATATCGTGTCAAGATAGTAACAAGTGAAATGGACGGAAAACATACCCAGACTGCCATAGATACTTGGGCCGACACTTTTCGAGAATCGTTCGTAGAAGCCCTCACTCCTGGCCATTGCTCCAAATTCCTCCTCCTCTTCAGGTGTGAACTGGACGCCGAAAGGATTGGAACCACCAGAGCCGCCGGTAGGTCCCGAAGATAGTTCAAGGTGGACGACCCGCAAGTATGGTTGGCGAAGAGCCGCGGCACCCGCATTTTTCTGTGGTGCGATGTTAACACTGCCCAGGGATAATATTCGAAGAACACACTTTCTGGGCCGACTGGAACGTCGAATAGATACCCGTTGCAATGATTCTTGACCCAGGGACAACTTTTCCTGTCAGAGATCTGTCCACGACCAAAAGCATATGCCTGGGCAACTCTCCGACTGGCACCATGTCTGGAGCCTCTTGGAGTTTGAGAGTTTGTTGATCGGCAAAAGTGGATTTGGAGTGAACGATGAGGTAGGGGTCGAGCGGGCAGTCAACCTCCTTTCGCCTTTTATTCTCTGAAGGCGCATCGCAGACACGCGGCAATCCTCGATCAGAACCACTACCTACTCCGCCTATACCAGCCGAGACGTCAATAATTTTGGGATTCCCGCAAGAACGACACTGGAGGTGCAACTTTGTTGCCCGTGCAGACAACACTGAAGCAGAGATGACGATGCCGGGGATGCGCACGAGTTTGTTCATGGTGTTCGCGGTGAGATCGCGGAATTGAAGCATGTTGAGACCCGAGCGAAGGGTGACTTGCATGCCAGGAATGGCGTCTGCAGCGTCTTCTGCGTTCTTCCTTTTCTCTGCTTCCGTACTACCCACACGTACGAGTGGGTAGAGGATCGAACGCGCAGCTTTGGTGGCTGCACCCTCAAACTGCGCGCAGGAGTGAGCATAGAAAGTTGGATGGTGTTACTTTACTGACGGAGGGAAGGGTAACGGCAGGATTGTCCTGAATGGCATGGGCCAGCTCGTCGTTGTACAGACTAAGGTGTCGGAGATCGACCTCGAGAATGCATTGCTTCAGGAGCAGATTTGCTCGCAGCTTATCTCTACGCGCCACGGTCAAACAGACACCCGGGAAACGCGCGACTGTTCTACCTGTAGATAAATTCGCCACCAAGGCGATACTGGAGCAGAAAGTCTAGAAGGAGTCTCTCAGTTTCAGAGGGCGAGTCGGGAGAGATGGCTGCGGGGGGATCGTGGGCAGCAACGGTGAAAACTGCGGGGGCGTCGAAGCCAGACATGGTGGAAGGAAGAACGCGAGCGTGAGTCACGGTGAGTGTGACGCGACGCGTCGGCTCGTGGGAGAAATTAGGTGACACAGATCCCTCTTCCCCACAAACATCATGGACACAGACGAGCCTTCCGTTGTTCTTGCCTCGTCGAACACGACGTCCGGATTAACCCTTTCTTTGTACTTTATCTCAGAATATTCAAGTACCCTCTCTGACCATTTCGTTCGCAGACACCCTCTCCCTATCTTGAACATTTCAGAACACTTGACGAGATTAAAATTGCAGACCAATTCGAAGTCTCCTTTCGGTCTGTCTGCGCACCCACCTGTCCAAGACAACCGTTGATCGCATCACAGTCCTGGGCGCTCTTTTGGGGACGCAAAATGGGCGCGAAGTAGAGATTGTGAACACATTCGAGCTCGCGGTTGAAGCCGGGAGTGAACTCGTGGACCATGGCTTCCTCGTCTCCAGACGCGATCAGTGTGAGTTTTTGGTGCCACTCAACATCATTCCAACGACGATCCTCTCCCAGACAAACAGGTGTTTCCCTCGCTTGAGTTTATCGGTTGGTACACCGTCGCCCCCCTACCGACCCAGCGCCACATCGCGTTGCACGAACAAGTATGCCTCGTTCGCACCCATCCACTAACTAACCTTCCTCGCGTGTTCGTGTAGTTTACGGGGCACTGCTCAACGCCACTACTTCTCCTCCTGCAGCCCTCGATCACTCTCGTCGCAAGCTCCGATGTCAACGCCCAGAACCTGCCCTTCAAGGCCTACGAGCCCACAATAGAACTTAGAGATCGAAAATCTCGATCGGTGTTCATCGAGGTCCCATACAATGTCGAAACAGGCGAGGCTGAACGTATTGCTGTAGATTGGACAGCGCGGGGTGGAGGGAGTGGAACCAGCTGTACGCCCATCCCCCTTTGTTACAATACCTCAAAGTGGGCTAACAAGGCACACGACAGTGGAGTCGTATCTCCAAACCCAACGCGCGGCTGTGAAGATGTTGCACGACCGAATCATGGTTCTTGTCAAATACGTCGCAGATGTCGTCGCGGGTGAGTCCTGATACCCACCAAGGCGCGCCCATCTATAACACTATCACAGGACAAGCCCCCAAAGACCATGCCACGCTGCGGTCTCTTTCAGCGTTGATTGCATCCCTGCCTGCGACCGAAAACAACGCGTTCCGCGACGAATTCGAGACTGAGTACGAGGATGTGCAGCTCACTGCGTTCCTGTCGTCCTTGACGAAATCTGCAAATATATTGAATGGCGTGAGTCCTGTCTCCCTCAGCCTCGCACGATCCCTGATCGTTGGCTTTTGCAGCTTGTGGACAAGCACCTTGTTATGACGAGCGGCGGCAACGAACGCGGGCCCGGTGGACCACGGAGGCGCGGGATGGGGATGGGAATGAACCGCGATAGGGATTGGGGCCATTGATTTGATTATGCCTTTGTTTTTGTTACCTCACTTCAATGAACACCAAGTCGAATGCTACACACATGTATCTGCATGGTATTACTATTGGTACACTTGTGGTAAGGGTAAGTAAATATTAATCTATAAATTAGAGAATCGAGTCATGCCCGTGTAAATCATGACTTGCCCTTCAAACCGATAGAACTCGAAGGCCGCCTGAGGCCCTTGATCTTTTTCCACAGGCCTGGGGAAGATGCAGAGGAAGACACGCTAGACGATATAAACCCACTGGAGGAACCGGGAGATGAAGCAACACTGGAGGATGCAGGGACAGCGAGTGGCTTGGATGGGGGTGAGGGTGTTTTAGTTGGGACAGGGACAGGCATGGACGGCGGAGGAAGGGGTGTCAAGTCCTCTAAGTTAACCGCACCTTTTGGGTGGTTGGTGGCTGGGTTCGCTGGAGAGGACAAGGGGCTACTGCTGCCCGATACGTCGAGGACCTCGGGTTCAGAAGGCAAGTCTGCCGGCGAGGACGGCCGTTCGATCTCGGGCTCTAGCTCTGGTACCGG